AAAAAAAAAGGCTTCAAGATAAAACTATGCACCTTCTTCAAATATACGTAATCATATTCTAACACTTTTACTTGTTTTAATTCATCAAAGAACTTTAAAGAGAAAATAAACGTGATCAAACATTGTTTTAATGTAGTGACGTTTGTCTGATTGCCTAAAGGTACTTTATCACATAATCTTTTATTACATATCCCAGACAAATCATTTAACTTTCTTAAAGAAAAAAAAAGGGTTGTGTCAGTGATCAAGTACTTTAATGTCTATTATTCATTCAATAAGACAATAAACAGTATTTTTTTCTCATTATAATATAATAAATAATGAAAAACAAAAAAAAGATTAATCATTCAATTCATAATTCAACAAGTCATATCAGTATTCGATATTCTCTCTAATAATTCTTGATTATTGTTAAAACTTTTAATACATATTTATTTCATAATAAGAATAAAAAATATCATTCAATTAATTATTTTACCTTTTTCTGTTGTTGATATTTAAATATAAGATGTGCCATCTTTTTTTTATGTTGTTGTAAATCATTATATAATATTCCAATTTGTTTAATTAATTCATGTTCTTTTTTTTCATGTCGTATTTGTAAATCTTCAATAATACTTTTTAATTGTTCAATTGTTTGACATTGTTCATGAAGAATATGTTTTGTTGTTATTATATCCATTGATCTATGAGATAATCTTGATGAACTAAACATTTGTTTATCTAGAAAAGAATAAATATTCATACATACTATATCAAGTTCTAACTTGTCCTAATGTAAGAATTTTTATTTTGTACCATGAATATTAATCGATCCCTATTTACTCACCGTCATATATCAAGAGGAACAATCTTCATTCTCGATTGTCGACCGATGGATAAGAAAGAAGAAAAGAAAAGAAAGAGAAGAGACAGAGACAGAGAGAGGGAGACAATCTTTTTTTTTCTTTCTAATTATATAACGTTGATTTAACCTGACAAACGCACACCAACATTTTTTTCTCTATACATCATACATTTCCTGCTTAACGTTTGCTTACTACTCGTCATGCAGATACTATTCACGAGTCGTATATTGTTTGTGCATTTGCACACATAACCTCTTCATCTATCTAAAATCATTGCGTATACATACATACATACATACAGAACAGATTTAACATTCATTGTACAATCGAAGTATTGACTATATTCTAATTGTCGTATTTATTAATCAAATACCAAATAGGATCATCTTATTGTATATATATGTTTTTGTCTATGTGAAAAATCAATCGAATCTATTATTATCCTAAATAATTACTCATTCATCCGATATTGATTTAATAAGCAGATAATGAAACAGAAGAAAAAAAAAAAAAGAGAAGAAAATTACTGACATCGAAGGTCAACATATGAAAAGCGCGAACAAATGTCTTACTAAGACGTCGCGTCAATTTTAGACCTATACATATATACATATAAAATATGCTCATACACCTATTTAATATAAAAGAAGATTATAGTGAATGTCCTTCACAGAATAACACTAATGCTGTTTGCATATAATGGATGTATGAAGCGATTATATAATGAATGAAGTGTGCATATCAACAGATGCAAGTATCACAACATAAATACAAGTGGAATCTTTGTTTCGCATATATACATACATAATGACAAAATGACGATAGAAGACCTTGATGAGTGGTGCCTTAGAAATGTCAGAAGATTATATGTATGAATATGATAAGTTCTGCTGATTATCATAGACTAAGAGAACTATAATAAATGGGTCGGTCGATGTTGTTAATAGTTATTAGTACCTTTGTGGATATGCTCTTGATTTTTTTCTCTTTATAACAATCGATGACATATGAGACAGCATGTGGCTTAATAAAGATCATAGATAGAGGTTACATGAGTCGACATTGGAATTTGTCAAGAAAACTTTTCTTGCATAAATTCGGTCCAATGTTTAATATGACGACAAAAACAACGAATCTCATCACAATTTATGTGAAGTATGTGTTGACATGTACGATAGAATAACGGAAATAAAAGCCAGTAATTAATCATCAGAAATATTGTAATGGTAAATATATTTGTATTGAGTTTTTCTCATCATGAATTTTGTTGTTTTATTTTTAATTAAAATTGTACTTACTTTATCGAATAAAAATCATGAAAAATCATTCATTTAACGAATGATTATATTAATTGTTATTGAATAGGATAATAAATAAAAGTTCTTTTCTTGATCAACATCAAACGAAACGAAATAATTATCAATCCAATTGATTATTTTTACGCTTGTCGTTCTTTTTTTTTTGTAACTTTATGAATAGATTAATTGTTATTAAAAATAAATTTTTTTATTTAATAAGCAAAAGATCTTGAGTAAATTGAATAAGCTATCAAAAAAAAAAAAAGAATTCTAGACATATTACATCCGGTCAACATTGTCTACATGCGATGCTTAAATTTATTTCATCATACATATCTGTAATGATCTAGTTCATATATATATATATATACGTATATGAACGCTTATGTTCAATAACCCGGCAAAATACTTTTTTTTTTTTTTCATCCTACTTATTTGACACTTTCACCTGGTATGATTACTCTATAATTAGTTTTTTTTTTCTTTATTCGAGATAATGTTGACCTGTCCTATCCAGTGGAGTGTAGAGCAACGTATGCATTTGACTCAAGCTTATCAAATTAGGAAATTCATAGAACATGCGGTGATCAAACAACAATCCGTTCGGTGATAGACAGACGGTACCTCTCTCTCTTGAGAAAGAGAGACGAGAATTAGAAAATAAGCGAACCTGTTGTAAAAACAATCTAGAAAATGAACCTGTTCTTATGTTGAGTTAAAATAACGTTCGAAGTCTATCTTAATGATGATTGACATGTGCACAAGACAAGCCATACCGTCTGTTCGACAATAATCATACATATATAAACGTTTCTCGTGAGAAAGAAAGAAAGAAAGAAACAAAGAGGTGTCAGATAATCATTGTTGATATCAATTACATATTAACATCTTCTCATTTTAAAGGTTATAACATAAAAATCACTTGTATTGAAATCTATCATGGATACGGATAAAATTTTGCTTCTTTACATATGAACATTTATAATCTACCTATTATTACTTTGATTTTGATGAATGATAAAAATATTGTTTTGTTTGTATCATGTCTATTATATAATCATACTGATGTCTAAACGATGAGTGTACATTTCTATATGTCTGATGGTGTTCATTGAAGATAATTTTTTTTACTTATTTATGTAATTGTACTATCAAATATGTATATTTTTATGAACTATTCGAAAAAAAATCTTACATTATCAGTGTAAAAAATAATATGTATGAAATCAGTTGAAAGAAAAGAAATTTTATCGCATTAAATCTTTTCAGGGTTTGATAAGAATCATTGTCATAGATAGAGATGAATGATGTTGAATTTGAACTTAATAGATCATACTGTAACACAATTCAGTGTTCTTTTTTTCTTTTTGATTTGCAAGAAGTCTATCAATATTAAGAAATTTTGATTTTTATGTGATACATAAGTTAACTGTTTTTTTGTTCCTAGTTCATTTCGAATCTGTTTTGATTTTAGTAGGCGAAATTTATTTTTTTGTAATTAAATTGATAGTTCATGTTTATTTTTTAATATTAATAGGCTCTGATTCAACTAATTCTTGCTTTAGTTTGATTGAATGATTTTATTTCATGCATATTAATTGCTATCGAACTCTCTCTGTTGAACCTTCAATGTTACGGACAAATTTTTCGCTCGTTGATAATTCTTTATTGCCGAAGTACAAATCGATGTAGAATCATAAAAACTACAGTTAGTGACAAATTATTCGATTTAAATATGAAAAAAAAAATACCATTTACAATTTGTAAGATTTTTCCAGTTATTATGGTTTGAATAAAATTTCATTTTCATTGTCAGTATGTCGAGCTTCAATTTCACGTTGTAAATTACAAATCGGATTGTTTAATATTAAATTTTCATTATTCTTTTTTTTTTCTTCGATATAATTGAAATAAGTCAATTTGAATTTACACAAACACTTCAATATATGTGTACAAATGCTTCATGTTTCCTGTGTAAATATTGTAAAATTTCTTTTTGTTGATTTTGAATTTCTAATAAAGATTAAAATTTTTTCATAAATTATTATACAACAATAAAAATGAATTTTTTCTACTACTTTATTTGTTCTTAAATGTTACATAATAATTAATTAATTCTCAAATTTCTTAAAATTCATTAGTAGTTTCAAGAGTCTTACTAAGTTGAATGTTATATCAAGAGAAAAATTAAAACGAATATTTACTCTCTGAAGATATTTATTAGGATTATCACATTTACTAATTTGTGCTATAAAATCTTTTTATTTTATATTTTAAATCATCGATTTCAACTTCTTACCTTTCAATATAATTTTTTTTTATGCTAATTGATTCAAGTTTACGTTCATCGTATGCTTGTTTAAATGTTTGCATTAGTTTTTAATCATGTTCTCTTTTTTCTTCTCAAGAAAAACATTTACAAATTGATATATTTTTCAAAAATTATCTTTATATATATATATATATATATTCAAGTTTAACGACGTAATTTTAAGCTTATTTTGAACTTCTGTATCATTTAAGACAACAAAATATAGATAAACAGATTCGTAGGAATTTGATATTTCTTTTTAATTAATCACGTTCGAGTGATATTCTTTAGGATAAGACAATTTGTTTTTTTTTTTACTAATGAAGCATTTTTATTGCTGTTATTGCAGCTTTCTTATTAAAAACTGTTCAGAGAGATTCTTCCATGAATGAGCTCATGGTTATCTCTAAAGATGTAAAGAAAAAATCTTCAATTTGACTCTAGCAATCAGAAATAGAATGGTACAAAAAAATCAGAAATAGCTACACAAATATTACACATAAAAAAAAAGGAATCTGTTATTTGTTGCACTTGTCGATAGTCTTATCTACCATCATTGTGTTGCTGAGGATACTGTTGCTCACAGGCACAGCATAAACAATTGACATTACTAACATCTGTTGGTGCACAAACACAAACAGTATTGCCACACTAAAAAAGAAATCATATATATTCTTGAAAAAAACAAAACATTTTATTTACCGAACAACATTGTCCAGAACAACAGGCTTCACATGTAATAATATCTGCAAATTCAATAGACTATTAAAAAAAAAAAAATAAAGAACAATAGATTTCTTTTTTTTTTTAAATATTATTGTAATGTAATATACTCCTCGTTTTGGACAACATGCATCAAGACATGACTCAATTGTTGTTGTACCACAACAATCACATGCTTCAGCACATGATACACAACATTCTTGACAACTTAAACATTGAATACAATTGATATTACAATTGCAACAGTCTTTAAGTATTCCACGAGACTTAAATAATCAATAGAAAAATAAAACAAATAAATTTTAATAATTAAAACAATTCATTTTTTTTTTTTCTACCTTCAAAATTTCTCGAATAAATAAAAGGATGATGAAAATTAAAATAATACTACCAATTATAATTACGAAAATGTACGGCAACTCTAATGTAAGTTGCTTTGAAATATTGATACCACCAGGACGAAAGGTGGAAAACTACAAAAACAAATAAATTAATCTGACATTTTTTTTTTGTTGTCCGAAAATAAAACTACCTTTATATCCGTTGACATTTAACAAGAGTAGAATTTTTTTCTTTTCAAGTAATTCTCCATTCCTTTATTTTTTTCTATGTTACAACCTCTATTCAAGCAGATGTATTGTAATCATGGTAACAACATGTGTTGTTAAGAGTATTGTTGATACTAATGGTGACTTGAATTCTATTGTGTTCATTATCTGATTTCTATAAACTACATTCACCGATTAAAGAAATCATGGCCGACGATGAAGAAGAAATGGGTGAAGAAGAAAATACAAATAATTTAGGCGTATGAGTATTGATTTTAATTTTTTGTATTCTTTTAATGAATTCCTTTTTGTTTTTGTTAAGACTTATGAAGGTGAACGTAATGAAAACAATGAACGACATGGTTTTGGTAAAGCAAAATTACCTAATGGAGATACATATGAAGGACAATATCAAAATGGCAAAAGATATGGAACAGGAACTTATCGATTTTTAAATGGTGCTCGTTACATAGGTTAGTTTTAATTATTTAATTTTCATATTGTTTTTTTGTTTTGTTTTGAATAAACAGGAGATTATATGAAAAATAAACGACATGGTCAAGGAACATTTCATTATCCTGATGGATCAAAATATGAAGGTGAATGGAATGATAATGTACGTGAAGGTCATGGAACATATACATATCCAAATAATGATACATATGTAGGTGAATGGAAAAATCATCAAAGACATGGAAAAGGAACTTATACATATGCAGCTACAAGTATGTGTTACAAAAAAAAAACGTTATTTTATTTTGTATTTTCAATTGAAACAAAATTTTTTTTTTATTATAGAAGCACAATATATTGGTACATGGAATAATGGTAAACGGCAAGGTCCAGGAGAAATGCAATTTGCTCATTATAAATATGTTGGTAGATTTCATGATAATTATGTACGTCATTTTTAAAAATAATACTTAAATTAGAATTCATGACTGTTATTCTTGCGACATTTGTTCTTCGAACAGTTGTTTTCGAAACATCTACTCTTCTACAGCTCTTAGTTAGAACGACGAATAATCAAAAACTAATCAGCAAAATATTGAAGCTATATATATACTTTCCTGTTGTTCTTACTTTCCATCCTAATACTATCTTCAGTTTCGTCTACACCTTACTCTCCTCCCCTGATACTCCGATTCTAGTCACCTCCATAATCAACACTCAATATCACAAGAGCAAATGTCATAGAAGCATCTGTGTTGAGTGCAATAGTCGTGTTACTATAAAACTGATTATTTATGAGTGTTGAATTCTATAGTGATGACATTAGGTTTGCTGATTTTTCTCGACAGATTGTACATAAATGTCTATCTGTCATCGTCTATGACAGAAAATACAGTTAAGAATTTAGCTGTCAGTTGTTTGTCTTGTTTTCCATATTTACTGTAAGATATTATCAATAACATCTTCTCTTAGAAAAGTATCCATTACAATAATTTATAAACCTATCCAGTTATAGCTGAAATATTTATGCTAAAAACAGTTGTTAGTTTTTATTCTAAAAGCATTTTATATATTTATAGCCAAAGGGTAAAGGCAAGTTTGTTTTTAAAAATGGATATCAACAAAATGGTGAATATCATATTACATCAACGGTAAAAAAACTATTTGTTTTTATTTAAAAACAAAAAAAAAGAACATATGTATATAAGAAATAAAATATTTAGGCTGCTGATGATGATTCAGATGCTCCACCTCAAGTACAATACAAATGGATTGCTCATGATGTTACTGCAGTTGAACAAGAACAACCTTATGATTTAGATGATGAACAAGCTGAAACAGATAGAACACAAGGTAAACTTTAATCTTTATTTCTTAAGATATTTTTTGTTTGAAATTCTTTTTTATAAAGAATTAATTAATAAATTTAAAAAAAAACAATTAACTAATCAAGAAGGTTTGGGTTCTATACTAAAATATTTTGCACATATGATTTTATCATTATGTTTTGTTTGAATGATATATGAAAATTTTATTATTATTTTTAGAACATGATACTCTACAAAGAATGCATATCCTTTCGGGTAAAATAAAATTAATTGTTATTATTATTTTAATCAATTAATTTAATTTTTGATATAGATAATAATACTCCTGAAAATCCATTGAATAATGAACCAGGTGAAACATTTGATGGTAATGAAGATATTGATGAAAATCGACAAGAAAATGGTGGTATATTAAAAGAAAATTCTTTTTTTCTTTAAATATTTTTTCTTTTTCATTTATTTAGAAATACCAGGCGACGAGGAATTTGATGAAGAACAATAGATTGTATTTTTTTGTTTTCTAAATAAAGGAACGATGATATGTCCTTTAAATATTAAAACATGACAATCATTTGATTTTTAGGTTTAAAAAAAAAAAAGAAAACAAACCATTGATAAAAACGAAAAAGAAACACAGAAATAACTAACTAAATGTGATAATAGAGAAAAAAAAAATGTTCTTTTTTTTCTTTGTGAGTATGACGGTGATAATAGAAAATAAATTGTGAACTTAACATTGAAGAGTGCCTGTTTTGTGAAATTAGTGCATGAGTATTAGTGAAAAAAAAAAAACTCAGGTGAGATTTTTTTTGAACACAAAAGAAAAAATGACTCCTTAATTATTATGTTTGGATTGTTTGGATTTTTCATTGGTACGTTTGGTATTGAGAATATTTTTAGCTTTCTTTTTTAATGTTTTCGAAGTTCCAGATTCTTCCTCTTCTTCTTCTTCTTCCTCTTCATCATCATCATCATCTGTTTCATCATCATTATCATCATCGTCATCATCAGTATCAGACTCCGAGTTTTCGTCAGTATCTGTATCGGTATCTGTGTCATCGTCGGAATCGGTATCAGAATCAGTATCTGTATCAGTATCTGATTCTGAAACTTCATTTTTTCTTTTTGGTCGATTCTTCTTAGCGTGGCCACGATAGTCTTCAAGATTTTCAAAGATCTCAGCATATTCTTCTAATTCTTCTTCAGTATTTCCTATTCAAAATAAAATTGAAATAATTTAACTAATAGAAAAAAAAATAATAATTATTATATTCTTACCTCCAGCACACTCTTCGCTACATTCTTCACGTCGTGATTTACCACAATTCATCCTCCTCATACATTCGTTATACGACAAAAAGATTGAAGCACGATCACGTGGGATGAAAACTGCTAAAATTGATAAGTTGAACATTGATGGACATAGAGAAGATAGAGCTTTTGTGTGATTAGTAGCATATATATGTATGTGCGTGTTTACAGAAAGAGAAAGATCGTATGAAGCTAGCATTACAGAGAAAAACAAATAAGCATATAACAATGAGCGATATACAGTACATATAATGTATTAGAAAAATCCTAAATATCTAATCTAACAATAAAATGAAAGTATACTACATAAAGGATAGATGAAGAAGGAACAAAATGTTATTATTCTCACACAGGATGTTTATAACTCAAAATTTTTAATTTTTTTTTGTTGATTTGGATTTTTTATTTTTATCATCTGATGTATTTTCTTCTTCACTACTTGGATCACTTTCATTATCCGTTGTTGTTGTTGTATCTGTTGAACTATCATCACTATCGGATGATGATGATTTTTTATGTGATTTTTTTGATGATTTCTTTTTTAAATCAGATCGATATTCTTCAATATGTTCAAACATTTCAGTATATTCTTCCATTTCTTCTTCAGTATTACCTGTAAATAATAAACATATAGAATTAGGTTATTAAAAAACTTATACAAAAAAAAAGAAACAATTAAGCACCCCCCCCCCCCCCCAAAAAAAGTCAATTTTCGTCAAAAATTCCGAAATTAAGATAAGTACATGGGGAAATAGCTCTTCATCTGCTCTTTCATAAACGATAATTTATTTTTCTCGTTACTTCATTTTTCCCAAAAAATTTTCAAGATTTTCGTCAACCCCTATTCGAAAAACCAGCTGTTTTTTGAAAAATCAAAAAATGTTCTTCGTTTTTTCTCAGTTTCCGCTTTCTCAAAAGCGCATCCCAAATTTCTCCTTTCCCGGTTCATTCAATGTATTAATATTTTTTTTTGTTGGAAAGAGCATCTCAAGGCGCAGGGCATGATGGGGCCATTTTTTTAAATTAAGCCTTTGTTTGGTCAATATACAGCCAGTTATATGATTCGGTTACCATTTTTTGACACTTTTTTCAGTAATTGAACTTGTGATCTCTTTTTTGCGCTTAAAAAGGGACTATTTCAAAAAAATGGCCCCATCATGCCCTGCATCTTGAGATGCTCTTTCCAACAACAAAAAAAATATTAATATATTGAACGAACCAGAACCGAAAAATTTGGGATGCCAAATGAGTCATTTTTGACCCTTGTTTGGTTCATATCTCCTTAAAACCTGAAGACTTCGGGCCAAAAATTCTATGGTAGTCTCCCCTTTCCAGCCCCAATATATCCTGAAAGTTTCATACAATTTGGATGTTCCTGGGCTAAGATAGATTTTTGAGGGGGTCCTTAAGATTAAGATTATATTTTACTTACCATCAGCACATTCTTCACTGCATTCTTCTTTGCGTAATTTACCACAATTCATTCGTCGTATACATTCATTGTAGGAGAGAAAAATCGATGCTCTTTCACGTGGGATGAATGTTACTGAAATTGACGGTAACAAAAGAAAAAAAAAACAACGCACACTCTCTCTTCTATTACAATTAGTTCAATTAAATACTCATAGTAATAAAGAAACTTTGCTTTATACGATCTTTTTCTTTATTTTTTGTTAGTATAACTTTTTTGTTTTTTTTTTTTTAAAGTAAGTTAATTCGTTAAATTTTACCTTTTTTATCATCATCATCTGAATCTGAATCTGAATCTGTATCAGAATCTGTTGATTTTGATTCTTCTTCTTCTTCATTTTCTTCCTTCGACTTTTTACTTGCATCAACTGTTCTTGTTGTTAAACCAACAGACAAAAGAACAATTAAACAAGTGACAAGTAACCAATTAAGATGCATTATGATCACGAAATTCTAATCGTTGTAAAAACAAAAAACCTAAAAAAAGAAACTTTTATACATTTCAAAAAAATCAAGCGTTCTACTAAGTTTTCTTGAATAACTTTTTACACAAACATCATCGAGACCTGCAATTTTTGACATTCAAGAGAGAAGACTCAAGACTATTGAAGGATAGCAGAATTTAGTGAGTCAGTAATTGATCAATCAGATGAATTTTTGATTGAGATTTTTGAAAAAACGATATTCTACAGCTATTTTTCTTTTGATCTACATAAAGCTGACATTTCGATTTTGTTCCATTTGAGAGTTATAAGACTTTTTCTGAGACCCTCGATATTAACCAATTGACGTATGATCATTTGAAAACACAGCTAGATAGGAGCAATTCATCATGCTGAGTCAAATGGTGATATTTGTTTTTAGGTATATACTAATCTGACACTGTTATTTCCATAATTCTGAAATTCTACAATCAGTCTTCATGTAACGAAGGAGTCGACATTTCGAAACTAATGAGATAACACAGTGTCAAATCAGTTTATATCGGAAAATAAATATCATCATTTGACTCGGCATGGTAAATTACTTCCGTCTAGCTGTTTTTCTAGATGATCATAGGTCAATTGGCTGATATCGAGGATTTCACAAAAAAAAAAATCTAATAACTCTCGAATAGAACAAGCTAGGAATGTTGACCTTGCTTAGATCGAAGGAAAAATTTTTTTTTTCTATTCATTAGTCTTATCATAAGTATAAATCAACATAGAAATATTTTCAGAATATCATTTACAAAAATCTTCATCAAGGACTGACCTAATTGGCTTATTTTCAACTAGTCAAAGTTCAATATACTTCGATGAATTCGACTCTTCTCTCTTGCATAGTGAAAACCGCAGATCTCTATGACATTCCTATAAAAAGTTATTCAAAAAACAGTAGAATACATTATATTTTGCTATAGATAGTTATCTTCTAGTTATATATATGTTGAAGTGACCAAAGTTTTAAGAATAACACATCTGTTTAGTTTTTCCTACAATACCAAGTATCTAATATGGCATTATCTATCAAATAGATTTTATACCGAATTTTCATTGATGCATTACTGGAACGAGATACTTTATATTCCAGAAGAATTTTCTAGAAATAGTATTTAACGAGATCGCCATGGCTCAGTGCCTATGTTGTTCGAATCTCGGTACTACCACCAGTTGTAGAATAACACTGGACAATTCATTAATGACTATTTCTCTTGAATCATTCGTTCAATAGTATGCTAACTACGCTGTGATATACATTTACTCTTGTGATTACTTAGTGTGTATGGGGAGTTCAAACAATTAAGCACAATAATTCTACATCACGTTGGTCTCCTGAGAATATGAGTTCGATTATTACTTTTATTCCTAACAATAGTTAAATCATTGTTTAATGAAATCACTCTATTTGGATTTCAAGTTAGATGTTTGGTATACGTTGCTCTTATAATTTTGGTAATAATAGTATATTGATCAAAGAGATGAAAAAAAAAACAATTATAATTAAGAAATCTCTTAATGATAACTTGAAAGATTCGAAATACGATAAAAATTAGATTTATGTTTATGCACTTGAGGATAGTCTATAATTATGCTTTTTTTCTTCCTACAACGAGAATTAAATCAGCATAAGCACAAAATAAGTATATAAGTACGAATGATATACAATAAACAAAAGGTCAAAGGGAAAAACGGAGTGATACATAAGAAAATTAAAATACTAACCTGAACAGAAGAGGAAAATTGACCTTGACTCGTGTTTTTTTTTTAATCTTCTCTAGATCTCTCTTAGGCGTAGAAAACCGCTTATGAGGATAATCTACAAAAAAAAAAGAAGATCATAAGAGAAAAAAAAACAGTAATGCGTATGTATATGTGTAGTTCTCGACATGTTGATTGGTTCGATGAAAACCACAATTATTTCCGTTAGAAATATATTGATATCCACATTTTTTGCTTCTATGTTATTGACTCCAGAAAATGAACAACAACATTTGTATAATTACTATTAACTACAATCGATACTAATAAAGTTTCAAAAGAAAAATAACAACTTGTCGTTACTTCTTCAGTTCGATATATAGAAGTAAACAGGAAAAATAGTAGGAAACAGAGAGTACTCCAATAAACATATTGGATAAGAAGACAACGACTATAATAATTATGATAATACTGTGGTTTTTCTTAGATATATAGAAAGAAAGAAAGAGAAGAGAAGAAAAAAAAATCCGAACGAGAAACAAGCGTATATACGACTATTGGTGATAGGATGCATCCTAATGATCTTGTGTGATATTTTCCCGGTGATAATCTATGCTCTTTTCCTTTTTTTTTTTTTTTTTTTTTTTTTGCATCATCGTTCTAAAGAAGAAAGGAAAAAAATGTAGCACTTCTATTTTGATTAGTCGCAATTCATTACATAAGTTTGGTGTTGTTTTTTTTCTTTGCTTGAAATCTTATATTTTGTTGATGAATGATGTATTCAAAAAAAATGAAATATTGTGTCATTAGACATAAAAGTTCTTGTCGTTAAAAAAACATAATCGATCAATTGTAAAACTACATTCTAAATCTCGATTTCAAATACTCATATCATTTTGTTTTGACCATTATAAATGTGAAATATGCCTTTTTTTATCGAAATTTTTGTTTTTTATGACAAGTACTTCAAGACATAAACGACTTTTATTTTTTTTCTCAATTTATCGTATCATTTCAATAGCGACAGTTCGATATAGAGAAACTCATAGTTATATTTCATATAGTTGCTTACTATTACTAATATTATTGTTAATAGGTCTGCTGTGGTACAACTTTGGCAGTAAGCTGTTAGGCAGCCGCAAACATACACGTACGTCCATAAGAAAAAAAAAAGACGTATGCATGAAAGAAAAAAAACAATATTTCTTTTTTTCTTTCTTGTAACCTCAATCACCACTACTATTCCATATATATATATATATTTATATAGTATACATAAAGCAAAAGAAAGATACGCAATATCAATTGGGTACAATCTTCACAACAGTAATAAAACATCCATCTGTCGAACATTGTATGATTGTAGCTTGATCGTGATGCTATTCATACAAAGATGATAGTAATGCTAAAGACCAATGAAGATAGTTGTGCTAAATATAGATAAACTATGTATCATTTTCAATTGAGAAATTATCATTATGATATAATATAGAAATCCATTTTTTGTATTATCGATTGTATTTGTTAAAAATTTGAAGAATAAAATTTATTTTATTTAATTCTTATCTATTAATAAATGTCTTTATTTTTCTGAAGTTATTTACTTTACAAGGTTATCAGACGCACACAAGCACATAGAGATAAAAAAAAGAAAAAGATTCAGAACAAAACAAGATTTCGTCAATCGTAGCAAAAAAAAAAAAAAAAAGAAAATCAAATGCACAGTTATACATATATATATATATATGTAAAATAACAAGAATAGAGAATTCTAGTTGTTTTAATTCATTATCACTGTTGAATATTAGCATTGATTTGTTTGGCATTATTAAATTGTTGAAAAAATCGTTTAGCTTGATCGTTTGTTTTAAATCTTACACATAATGTTTCATGTTTAGATTGACCATCAGAAAAATCCATAGCTGACCATATATAAGCATTTTCTTTACATTGATGTTCTTTTAATTCCATTTGTGATGTTATTCTATGATTTGCACAAACTTTTAAGACTTGTTCACGACGCATTAATATTCGACATAGATTTGTTGTTTTATGTTGTAAAATTTTCATTTCACCAATTCCACGTTCTTTCATTTCATTTGTTATTGAATCATAACGATAAAGTTTTGCACGTTCACAAAATAATATATTTTCATCTTCTTCACCTGTTTTAACTTCAACAGGTAATAAATGTACAATGGGTTTAAATTCTATAGTTAATTCATTATCATTTTCTGTTGTAGTTGTATCCGTAGATTTTGTAGCAAATATTAATGAACCTTGTCCAGGAAAAACTATTTAAAAAAAAAACAAGGATTAAATTTTATCAAAAAATAAACAGTTTTTTTCATAGTTTAAGTTACCTCTTGCTTCATTATCATTATTTATCAATGGATGATCTGATGCTTGTTTAACTACATCAGCAAAATTAAGTTTTCGCATATTACCAAATAATGGCATATTTTCTGCTGATTTAGATTGAATTGTTGAAGTACTATTTGTTGTTGATGATGATAATGGTATTGAAAATTGAACATCAGTTGATGATGTTTTCGTATTACCAAAAGTAGAAAAAGAAAAACTACTATTCAATGGTTTGATAGATGCTGAACTACCAAATATGAAATCACTAGTATCATTATTATTCGTTGTTGTTGTTATTAAATTTTTATTGATTGCTTGAACAGAAATAGAACTAGTATTAGTATTAGAAACATTGGACGGTTGATTATCATCTTGTACTATAGTAGTTTTATCATCGTTTGTTTCTATATTTTGTTGCTCAGCTATTAGTTTATCTAAATAAAATAGAAATTATAGAAAGAAATTTTAATTCTCATATAATAATTTTAGAAATCTATTAATTAAGAAAAATAAAAATATAATAGTCTTACAAAGTTCTTGTTTTACTCGATCCATAATAGTTTGTGCCATTTGTGAAGCATAATTGTTAAGTAAATATGGATCAGTATTATAACTGGAGAAATTTCGTGTCTTTTTTTGATTTGTCTGAGCTGTTACTATTTCATCTCCTTGATCGATTCCAACTGAAGTTTGTTCATGATCAGAATATGATGATAATGATGGTGGTGGTGGTAGTGATGGTGGAGGTAAACGATTGCTTGGTAGAGTACGTTTGGCTTTTATTATCATTCGATAATCTTTCGGGGGAGAAGACATATTAAAGGAAGAAAAAGAATCCACTCCAGTAGAAAACCAAGTGGGTACCATAGACATCAACGAGGGAAGAGAAGATCCTAAATGTTCATTAGGAATGAAAAGAAAAATAATTTATTTCAATTATAATAAAATTAAGAACCTACTTGGGAAAAAGCCTGAAGGAAAAGTAGAAAGATTTTCAAAAGCAACAGCAGCAGTATCATAGTTATTCACCCGGTTTCCAGCATAGACTAGAAAAATGCTTATTTTACTTTACTGTTATTTTACAAAAAAAAAAAAAATTCTCTTCGACAATCATTACAAACAAAAGAAAAACAATAAAATAAATAATAAAACATACTTTCATTAGTTTGAGTCAATGATGAATCTTCTTTACAACCACGACAGCCGTTACAAGGTTGTTTATTTTCATATAAATAAAATGTTAATGGTAATTGTAGTTTTTTTGCTCGTTCGATTTGTTCTAATGTTGGTTTAACTTCACCAATGGTAATTATATCTAAATTTCAAAGAAAAAAAATTTTATTGAAAAATAAAAAAGAAATTTTTTTTTTTTTGAAATTATACCATCATCATTTAATGAAATATTTTTAATTGATAATATATCAACATTTTTATTTTGATTGATTTCTTTTGCTTGATTAAATATTTTTACAAATTGTGTTGCTTGTTCATGTGTTTTAAATTTTATACAAAATGTTTCATGTTTCCCTTCACCATCAGAAAAATCTATAGCTGACCAAACATAAACATTATGTATTTCTCGATGTGGTTTTAATTCCATTTGTGATGTTATTCTATGATTTGCACAAACTTTTAAAATTTGTTCACGACGCATTAATATTCGACATAGATTTGTTGTTTTATGTTGTAAAATTTTCATTTCACCAATTCCACGTTCTTTCATTTCATTTATTGTTGAATCATAACGATAAAGTTTTGCACGTTGACAAAATAATATATTTTCATCTTCTTCACCTGTTTTAATTTCAACAGGTGGTAAATATACAATAGGTTTAAATGATATAGGCAGTTCATCAGGACTATTTGTATCTTCAATATTATCGTGTGTATAAGTGGCACCATTGTAACTTATTGGACCAAAAAAAAATGGATCTAAAACTAAGAAATAAACTTGAATTTTCTAAAAAAACTTCATTTATGTTACCATCACGAGACGGTTGCTTATCGTTTGTTGTAGAAAATGAAAAGGATTCTGAGTTTGATGTTAAATCAGATAGATTTGAAAAGAATGATTTATTCAATAAGGGAGAAACTTGTAATGCTGGATGAAAAAAAGATAAAGTATTGGACGGTGATGGTTGTGGCATATATATTTGAAATGGAGGTAAAAACTGAGATTGTTCTTGTTGTTGTTGTTGTTGAAGAGTAATTACTCTATCTGCAAGTATTTCTACATCATTCTATAAATTAATCAAAATAAAAACATGAAATAAAACAAAAAAAAATCAACGAACTCGAATTTCAATTAATTGAAATGAAATATGTCGAGAATATTGTGCTAAATTTTGTATAACTTTAGTTTGAAGATTCAAACAATTGATGAGCTGCTCATTAAGATAATCGTCAAATGTTGTTTCTGGCGTTAGAGCAGACATCTTAAGTGCAAAAAAAAAAAGAAAGAATATTTTTGAAGCAATAAAATAATAAAAGATCTATTATTGTTTTAGAAAACATGCTAATAAATTGAATAACAAGAAAAAGAAGGACATAACAGCCATTTTCTTCTTTGAAGCACGAGTCTTTACTCTACCTTCTTATTACTCATGATATTTCAATTGAGTATCTATAGATGGCATACTCTTCCGAACTGATTCAATATCAAATAATGATATAAATTTTAAAAATTTATCGAAACAAAAATTCAGATTTCTTTTGTTAGTGAAGAATTAAAACTAAAAATGTATATGTTACTCAATAGTTGCTTTTAGATCATAACATTTTGTCAATGTCAAGATTTGAAATGCATAAAGCTCTAGGAATTTTTTTTGAATGTCATGTGTTTTCTCATTATAAGAGAGTTATGATGAACGCCCATAATAAAACTCGTTGGGTTGATTCAAGATCCACGATTGAGTCCAAAAATTTTGAATCCGATGGCTCAACCCAATCATAAATGGTCGGATAGACAAGATTTTTCAAGGACTTTTTTTTCGCAGTGAGACAATGTTATGAAATACTCTTTTATTGATTGATAAATTAAACCCTTGTTGTTATAATTTCTAGCTAAATAATTTGATTCTTAGGAATATTTTTTGAATTTCTATGACCAATGCTCTATCAGCAGGGATATTTGTGGAGAGGAGCAATGTCTCTCCTAAGCTCCAGCTGGCACTAATAGAATATATGATTATTTTACCACATACGATGTGTCTGTACTCCAAAAAAATAATTGTTTGCCCTCCCGAAGTTTTCAATTATTTCTCCAGAAAAGAAAATCTCAATAGAACATTATCTATGGCTTCATTAAATAACCATTTGATTCATATACGAAGCGAAGTTATGTAAAATGTATTATCTTCGACCTCATGATGAATACAATTTTAAATAATGTACATTGAAAAGAGAATTTCTTCATAGCTCTCATAGTTGTTAATGTAAATAAATAAATTTAATGAAAGAGATGGATAAATCTTTAGTTACAAAGAAAATCTAATGCCATTAAACATTGTCTGTAAAATAGAAGCTTACTTTTTTTATGAAGATTTATTGACAAAAAGATTATGAAATGACACCTCACCATTTTTATTTTTTCAATTTTTGAAATTCAACATTTCAATAGATTTTGAATGAAAGCTGCTCAATAACTTGCTGACAATTATGAATAAATACATCTTATCTTCATTATTATATTCAAATCTAATGATGTATTGTTTTGTATATTTTCAAATAGGTGAATGATCTTCATAATATTGTTTGAATTGATCAATCATTGGTGAATATCTACTTCACTTCTTTATGATTTTGAATCTTTAATATAATATTTATAAATAATTGAAAATCCATCTACAATCGATTAAGTTCATTAAGACTAATAAAACCATTTTTAATAATTTCCAAATCATTTTCAATAAATATATCATTAGATTATTTATACTATTTAAACTATTGTTTATATGTCGTTTGATAACCACAAACGATCTAGATCTATTTATTAGAAATAATCAAGAAAAACAATGAGTCGTTAATGAAAAGTAGTAAAAATAATCATAAATATTCTTTTATTATTAATATCATGAAAAAAATTTAAAGATTGATCAACTTTAGTATATAATTGAATAGGTCATGGACATTTGCTTACGACGATTGTAAGTCTTCTCTTCACCTATTAGATATGTGCGGGACTAAAAGGAAAATTTCCACCGGGACAGGGGCCAAAATAAGTTGGTCCCGTACATGTCTATCATCCACATTCACACTCGATCATTAGGAAACAATTAAACAAAAAAAACCGCATACAAAAAAGTAATCATATAACTAAAATGAATGAAAACCTTGTTTGTAATCGATTTGTTAAATGAAGGATTTTTTTTTTCTTTTCTGTACAATTATCGTTTCTGTTGAATTTTTCCTACGTAGAACGAAAGAAAGAGAACAAAACATTATCTTGAAAATATATTTATCTTAGGTTGAGTTCGGAAGTATTTTACAAGCTGGAACTAAAAAAATGTCATACTTCCTACATATGCTTTTTATATATAGCTGAATTTCTATTTTAAAGGATATACAAAACTGTCTATTGAATATTTACTGTAAGTATATCTTATTCATCAAACTGATAGTAGAAAATATATCAAGAAATAAGAAATAGTTCATTGTATTATTCAAAAGACTATCAGATACGAAATAATCTGATAACAATAGAGATTATGTCATAAGATTGTTTCTGTCAAAAAAAGAGAGTTAAATATTTTCAATATAGAATGATGAAATAGATTAGTTTTCATGTCGAAAAAATTATAAACATTTTTGCTTTAATATTAAAGATGAGAATGTCAAGTCTTATTTTTTATTATTTTTCAGCTAATGTACGTTCAACATAAATAATTCAAAAGGTTTCTATTGTCTGAAAAAAAAGAGAGAGTGAGACATACAAATAGAACCGAAGAAAATGTAAAATAAAAATAATTCATTGAAATTTCAACAAAATATTCTAGATATAGACATGTTATTGATAGAAGATCATGAAGTTTTTCGAAGCAATATGAATTAATATTCATTTATAGTTTACTGTTCTATTCATGATATCGACATGCATGCATTACAGAGTCAGTTAATACAGTTTTTGTTTTTCATTACTGTAGAAATGTGAGAAAATCCAATTCTCAAATTCTTGTTTAATAAATTCTAGACGTTGATTTGTAAAAGAAAAATATGCAAGTTAAATTAATCAAACTCGAAATTGAAATTAGTTATTATTTACAGCTCACAAAATTTTCATATTTTTTTTTTCATAAGAATCAATTTCCCATAAAATGAAGAATGGCCATTATTATACTCAACCATAGTACTTCCGAAAACACTTAGAAATTTTTCTTCTTATACTAGAAAATGTTTAAGATACTTAAATTTTTTATTTATTTTAAAACATGATGCATGAATATTTTCGGTCAAGGTTTACATTCTAGTAGAAAAGATACGCATTTTGTTAGAATGTTCTCAAGATTTCGAAATTTTTATTAGAATGAAAAAAAGTTCATCTCTATAAAAAGTCTTGTGGTTGACCAGGGAAGATATTTTCAACTAATCAGTCACTTTCTCACCCAAACCTAATGAATTGTAAGTCAACGGTCATGCTGATTCCGAGTATAACTATTAAAGATTCTTTTAGGGTATGTATGTATTGATTTTCCAGACTAACGAACATACTATTGTTTTCTCGTTATAAACAGAAATCTATGAATCAAGATTTTCTGTTACTATTATGAAAGCGGAAGTGTATTATAAAACAGACAGAGAGAGTACTTCTCTAGATGTCATTAGTTTGCTGGTGTTATTAAGTATACATTGAATTATTTAATTATTAAATATCGAAAAAAATGAAGAAATTATTGATCAAAATTAAATAGTATTTAATTCTAATTTAATTCGAAATTATAATTGAAGGCTTGAATAAGTAACTGATGGCAACATAAAAAAAAACAATTTCTAGAAACTACTTTCTATTTTTTTAAGTTCTTAGTAAATAAAAATCATATTATTGATGAATACTTAATATAAAAACATATTATTTAATTTATGTATGATCATTTCATAAATTATTTTTTTTATTAAACTTATTTAAAATAACTATTATGCAAAAGTCAAAGAATAATTTTATGAATCTTCTAGATTTTACAAATAATTCATTAAATCGTGTTTTTTTGTTACTGGAACGATGGTCATAACTACAATTAATGTGGAAAGAGATATACGACGTCGATATAATCGACGAGTACTATTTTGTCTTAGAATTAAGTAAGTTTCTGATTATTCCAGAACAAAAAAAAAAGAATTATTTTATTTTTATAGAGGAGCTGCTTTACTCATTGGTTTCTGGGATTTATTTATTCATTTATTTGCTTTATGTGCACTTATATTGATGTTTGGACGAACAGCTGAGACTATAAATGAATTAACACCAACAAATAATCAATTATATCGTCAAGTACCACCAACATTTGATAACTATCGTGAATCATCATCATCAGATGTTTTAATAAATAATCAAAGATCTCTTTCAAAACATATATTATTCAAACATATTTCAGAAAAACGTAATATAACTCGTCCATTAATACAAATTAATACAAAAAATTTTTATTCACATTGGGATTTAATTACTTTTCATTGGCTACAATCACTTAGTCAACGTATGTTAAAACATAATTTTCTTTGTCTTTAATTATTAAATGAGAGAATATCTTAAACTGATACTTTCGATTTGTAATCATAGTTCAAAATAAGTTTCGTATTCTCAATTTACTTATATTGCAAAAATTGTACTCAGAAAATTCTATCTCAAAATTTTCTAAATAACAGATCTCATAATACTTATTATATCTTGAAAGTTTCAATTCAAATCAATATTTTTTCCTCCGATAGGAATTTACCAAATTCAAATTCTTGAAATTCAATTACGTAAAATAAAGTAACATCAAAAACAATCTCTTTTATTAGAGGTACAATACAACTAGAGAAAAAGTTTCCCCAGATACAATTCTTAGTATGTCAAAAGTAAATTCTTGATTCAAATTGAAATATCCTCTCGATTTATTGCATAGCCTTTTTTTTTAGGTATTTTGTATCTTAAGAAAAACTTGTTCATTTGAACTTCTTATAAGCCTTTTGAAAAATACGATCTAAACAGAATGTAGAAGTGCTATAAGGTCGAACTTTGCACCTTTTCTTCACAGATTATGACAGACATCATATAAAAGAACGTGACATGGAAGTTAGCAACATCCATTACTCCGTCATATACTATGACAAACACTAGATAGATAATGTAGTATAAAACAATCTACTGATGATTAATAAAAATCAGATATATCGTGTTTTGATATTTCAATTTCCATGCGAATTGTACTAATAACATATTATTGTATTTTAGAAGATAAATGTATTGTCTTTATCATTCTTTGTTCGGCTACAATTCTCATATTAGCACATATTTGTGGAATTATAACAGTAAGTTAATCTATTTAAAACATGTGAATTTATTTTGATTATTTAGAATAAACCATCATATATAGTTCCATATTTTTTAATAAAAGTTTTTAATGTTATTATAACAATATTATCAATGTTAGGTTTTTATGCTTATTTACCAGATATAAGAACTTGGCTTATAATGCAACCACATTTTCCATATAAAAATTATTTAATTAATTTTGATACACAAACACTTCAACTTCTTGTATTTAGTTTTCTTTTATTCCTTATTTTAGCTAAAGTATGATGTTTTTTTCTTTTTGATTTTCTATGAAATTCTTTTTATTTTAAAGCTTTATATTGTGGCTATTATTTGGTATTGTTATGGTTATGTAACAGCATTAGCAATGGCTCGAACTATTGGAACAATTACAGCTCATGGTGATGATTCACAAACAATTATGGGAGAAGTATATTTATTTTTAAAATGATTTGATATGTTTGATCTTATGTACGATTTTTTTTTAAATTTATTTTTGAAGATGTATTCACCACCGAAATATGAAGAAGCAATTCAATCCAATTCTCAACAACAAGAAGATTATGCACCACCTCCATATACACCATTATTATCATCATAAATTATATATTTTTATTCCTAAAGATCTGAATTGTCCAATTTTTCTTTTCCGGTTTATTTATTTGCTTATTTTATCTATTTTCGAACGTACATATAGACATAAAATCAGTGAAGTAAATAATGCGTATATGCTTTCTTATTAATCCTGCATGTTTTTTTTCTTTCTTTCGTTTAATTGCTTTTCATTTAAAAAGCATGATAGATATGTATTGGATGACAACTAGAGTGTGATTTTGTATATATATATAATTTATGAATCGAAATCAAATAAATATTATATTATTACGATTAAACATTTTTTATTAATATTTCTCTAGTTTTTTGTTTTTTATTTCTCACTTCATAATCAAGTTTATTGTATAGTTGATCTTCAAAACACTGATAGACGAAACAAACTCTTTTTCGTCTAAACAATATAAATTTCGTCAGTACTTCATTTGGCTGTATGATTTATGTATAATCTAAAAGAATGAAGACAACTATATTCATTGAATAATGTATACCATTTTGTGTAGAATTTCATGCCCTATCTTTTGATTAAAAATGTATTTCGATCAAAAGAATAATAATAGAAAGAATTGAAAAATAGTCACCAGGGAACATTCTCAAGTGATTCGTACCGTTTACCTTCATATTATACTCATAGTATAGGTAAATACTCTAAAAGGGTTCGTGCCATTGTGCTTTTCTTCTCGAGTTATGACCATTTTACTGAATGTTCAGTCAATTATAATATATTAAGAAAAAAATCTCAAGAAATTTTCGCTTGAATAGTTTTTCCAATAATAGATCTTATAGTTCTTATCATATCCTGAAAGTTTCAGCTCAAATGAATAGTTCCATTCCGAAATAATACATCTGCAAAAACCTACTATTTTCTCACAAAAGCTCCAAAAATAGTTTATTTTTAAGATACTCTATATCTTTAGAAAAACTTATTCGTTTGAGCTGAAACTTTCAAGATATAACAAGGACTGTAAGGTCTATTATTGGAAAAAATGTTCAAGCGGAAGTTCCATGTTGAGATTTTTTTTTAATATATTCTGATAGGCTGAAAATTCGGTAAAATGGTCATAACTCGAGAAGGAAGACACAATGGCAAGAACTCCTCTATGGTAATTACCTACACTATGAGCTCTACCTATGGGTATAATATGATGGCGAGCGGTGCGAATCCCTTGGAAATGTTCCCTCGTAAGAGGACAATTTATCTTGCGCCCGTTCCATAGAAGTAATATAATGTTTGTCATAATAAAATATTTTTAACAATTTCATTATCAATTACAATCTTACATTTGCTGAGAGGTTTTAATTGTTAAATTACAGCTATCTGAGATTAATATCAATTATAGTCTTTCATTAATAATAAATTAATGCTTGTCAACAACTACAAAGAATTTCAGTTCATCAAAGCTTCTACTATTTTAGAAAAAAAATCAAATACAAATTGATTATTAAAAAAGGCTGAAAAAATAAATACATAAAAATATTGTTTTTATTTAAGCCACTACATTAACAGTTGTATGTTCTTGATCGGTATCAACTATTATAACTGTAGGTGATGTCGAAATAAATGAATTAGAATCACATTTTGTAGAATTTGAATTTAAGTCTGATTGTTGTAAAACTTTTGAATTATTTCTATCGGATTGTTGTTCTTGTTTTTTACGAGGTAATAATGTTTTTGGAAATGGACGAAATATTGGAAAATTATTAGTCGATTTAATTTCTAAATATAAAAAAAAAAAGAAAATATACAGTAATATTCAAGAAAACAAAAAAATAATCTCTTGTTATTTTAAATCAAATCACACACGTCATATAATTAATATGAAATTTTCTTTTCACAAACTTGCCTTGGTCTTTGAATAGAAAGTCTGTGACGTTCATTTTCGAAACTCTGGGTTTTTTGTTTCCTAGATACAAATATAAAATCAAAGAGATCTACTTTTTTTGCGCTCGGAAAATCAAATATTATTCGTATGCAAGGAAAAGAAAGTTAATTTAAAATAGTGAGGTGCATTTGTGTGTACCCTGTTCGAAATGTTAATTGTGCAGCATGTTGGTAAATAATCAGTGTACAATTATCTAATGTTCGAGAAAAAAAGAAGAATTTTTTAGCATTTATTTTTTCTATTATATGTTTGAAAATAATAATAAAAAAAATAGGTGCATTCAAAATAAAAATCTATTGTTGAATAACTGTTTGTGGATTTAAAATAATCAAAGAAGAAAAATGCATTTGTTTATCACGATATGATAATCGAGTTTTTCGATTATGAGCAAGTAATTTTTGTCTTATTAATCGATTGACATGTTGAGAATGTAGTGATATTTTTGGTAACCGAGTTATATTAGATAATTCTATTAGATCTCTTTGAAAAGATATAAAAAACCAAAATCTTAAACTAAATTAAACTATTTACCCTTTGGTGATGGTATACGATCATTAATTTTTGCTCTACTTAATGGTTGAATTGGAAGTGAATTAACTGTAATACGATTTGAATTTGTTTTTGATCGTTTACGTCTTGTATCATGTATTGGTAATGATGCTTCATTGGATTTATTATTTGGATGAAAATGATATTGACAAAGTTCAGATTTTTCTAATATACAATCAGCTGATGATGTCACATCATTATAATCTGTTGATGATTGAATCATTTCATCATTTTTTGATGATGATCTATCATGATGATTATCAAGAGCACTTGTTGAACATGATGTTATTGAATCATGATTAGTTGAATTATCTTTTGATAAAGACATTTGTGGTGGTGCAGAAACAGGTGCAATTACTGTTGTATTATTATTATTATTATTATGTGTTCCATTTGTATTTGAATGATTGTTTTGTATTCGACCAGTTTTACAAGGTTTACCTTCGACACGAAGATCAATTCCAATGTAAATTGGTACGGGCACTGGTAATCCTTTATGTATTAATTCAAAACGACCTGTATCATTTGTTCGATTATATTTTCGATCAATAATTACTGAATATAAATATAAATACTTTTGTTTGTTTTTCATTTTATTTTGTATTATATTCTTACCTTTACAAGTATCTTCAAGAACGCTATCACACATTTCTGTTGTTACTGCTGTACAACGAGCCATTGTTGGACTACAATTTATTTCAATAAGCCATGGTTTAAGATCTTCACCGAGCATAAAATCAGCACCAAATAATTCAAATGAATTCTATGAAATAAAGAAAAAAACTTTGTATATGATTTTTTTTTTGTGTTTCAATAAAAAATATTAAATATTTGTTGTTTTGCGTCTCAAGTGAGATTACATCCAATGTGTAGAAATTTACCTTAATACTAGAATTGGTCAATAGATCGATCTTCGATTCTTATTGATGAAATTTGATGAAGTAATAGTATGTAGTATCCAGAGATGTCCATCGCGGCGCTGCCGCTGCCGCGGTGGCGGTGGCGGCGCGGCAGCGGCAGGTTTTTAAAAAAAATCACCGCGGCAGATTTTTTTAAAAGTCATCGCGGCAGCGGCGCGGTAGCGGCAGGTTTTTTAAAAAACCATCGTGGCAGCGGCGCGGCAGCGGCAGGATTTTTTTGGAGGACATTGAAAAACTGTATGAATTTAATAGAATTTCACGATTTACAAATGAAACGCCCTGATATTGAATAAATCTGGTGGACTAGTACCCATATCTCTGGTCAAATATAGCCACAGCAGTGAAATTAGAAACACTTTTTTGAAAATCGTCGCGGCAGCGGCGCGGTGGCGGCACGTTTATTTTATAATTCATCGCGGCAGCGGCGCGGCAGCGTTTCTTTTATAAGTCATCGCGGTGCGGCAGCGTCGCGGCAACATTTTTTTATAAACCGTCGCGGCGCGGCAGCGGTGCGGCAGCTTTTTTTTTCTAAGGCCGCGGCAGATTTTCAGCCGCGATGGACATCTCTGGTAGTATCTGTGTTTGCTGCAACATTCAGACATGAACTATATCTTTTAGCATAATGACGTGTTCGAATGTTTCAGTAAACATTGATACAAGTGTGTATCAATGTACATTAATTAGATTGAGACAGTGAGACTAGAGATATAAGGGATAGGGTAGGATAAGGGTAAGAAAAACGCTTACCCTGAATATCTCTATCAATGATATCGATGATTAGTGCATTACAACTGTACATTCTTAAGTAATGGCACTTCAATTAATACAATTACCAGTCAAGTTTGAATCTATGAAACCATTGATGATTGTATTAATTGAAATATTATTTGTTCATTGGAGTCTACCAATAAGAATTGAAAGTCGATATCGATCCAATATTTTATTCAGCGTGAAAACCAAGGAGATGGAACCATTCTTTCGAAAATTGAATCGGCTCTCCTTAAGTTTTTAAATTGCTCCTTCGAAAAGGAAAATCTAGATAAAAATACTACATCGATCGAGAGATTAATTCGAGTTTTAACCTAAGTTTTCTCTGCCATTTCACATTGAATGTAATCTTATTTAACATACGAACATATATATTACTTTTCTCGGCTCAATTGTATCTTGTGCAACAAGCATTGAACATATAATGGCATCTTTCATAGCAGGATATATATATGAATCCCATTTATCAGCTAATTTATTAGGTTGAAGATATTTTTCAATAAATTCAGAATTTGTCCACATATTTTCCACTAAATAAAAAAATAAAAAATATCAAATTAAAATGATATTTTAATTTTCTCATACCTGGTAAATCGATATGTCGATTTGAATTATTTTTATAATGTTTTTGTATTGAATAATTACATAAATGTACATTTTGTTGTCTTGTTGATAAACTAAAATGTTCCGTACAAAAACGTAAATAACAATCTTTAAACATCCATATAGTTAATGGATTCCAATCAGTTACTAAAAACCATTGACGTATATCAAATTTAGTATTATGTATAAGTAATGGTCGTTCAATATATTTTTGTACAACAAATTTTCTATCATTTATTAATGATGATGAACATAATTTTAATATA